TTATACTCTTTTTGTTGTCAGGTGGAGACCTTTTCATTTTGCTGGTATTTGTTAACCTGTTTTTAATGGTATGTTAATGATATGGTATTTCTTTTATGAAATTACTAGTTCTGTTAAGCTGGATGCATTTTTATTGTTTTAATGTTTTGTTAATTTGACTTGTGTTTTTATACTGTTTTGTATTGTTGCAGCCTGCCTGGGCAAGGCTAATGGGGCAGGTTAAAAATCTAGTAAGAAATAAGCAAGCAATTCAATAGGGTGAGCCTATGGCTCAGAGGAAGTCACAAACAGATGGATGTTAATTCTTCAGTGTTTGGTTTTGGAGCCTACATCTGGATTTGCCCCTCTGCACAGATACATAGTTTACATACAATAGATTGAGGATGCCTGAACTGAGAAAGCACATGATCCATTTTGTCTGGTAAGGAAGACAACATCCCACATTTGTGGAAGTCTAAGATGTAACAGGATTGAGCTACCAAAAAGAATGTAACAGTACCTTTGTATGGGACAAGCCAAGGTCCTTCTGGCTTCATTGTTGTCTGAGCTCCCAACTTCTCCTACCTCTTGTGCTACCAGTTCTAAGGACAGAGAGTGACTTGCTAAGATCAATGTAATGTTACTGAATATGCTAAACTTCTCCCTGCAGTGAAAACTTAAACTAAACATGTTAATTTGGAAGTAACCCTTGATACCAGTGGAGCTTATTTGGAAAAAACTTTCTCAACATGTGGCAGCTACACAGTTGTCAAAAGCAGAGTGAAATAAGTTAAATTATATGGAAATCAGTTTACACACTGAAATGTAACCTTGGCATATAATTTCTAAACAGCCTGTTATGTGCTGAATTGTTCCCTGGACATCAAAATATTTTGCTGCTCATAAATAATAGAAGCAATGAAGTAATTCATGAGAAAAGTAGGTGCAGTAAGAAGATCAAGGATAAAGACCTGAAACAACACAGTTTTAAAAGGGGCAAATAATTAAGCAATAAACAAAATAATTTAAATATAAATGCCTCTTTGCCCAATTTAGCTCTAGTTGTTCTTAAGCAGGGTACTTGTGATGAGATATACTAACTGGGGATGTGCAATCCACTGCATGTCCCATTGAAAGCAATGTCATATGGCAGCCATACTTGGAAATACATCAGATTTACACCTGCACTGTCTGATCTAGTGAATAACCATGCTCATTCTCCTTAGCTATGTTGGGATGTTTTGGACTACAGCTCCCATAAATTGTTTCATTGGCCATGCTGGCTAGGGCTTCTGGAAGCTGTAGTCCCAAATACCTGGTGTGTTTCCAAAAATGCTCACAATTTCAAGCCTTTTGTTTGGATAGGTGCTGCAGTGCCCATGTTTCATGAGCAGACCTTCACTTGAACAGTAGAAGTCACAGCCCACTGTTCCTATCCAGGATGCCCAGAGGGTCTCCCCCACTTCGACCCTTTTGGAAGGATCCTGCCGGCGGCTGGTTTGCCACCACGTGTGTGGAATACTGGACTAGATGGACCTTTGATCTGGTCCAGCAGGGCTTTTCTTATGTACCATATTTTGAAGGGCTGAAGGAGAAGTGTCCTGTTCTGTGGGAGATTCCACTGTCCTATGCAATGGCTGGCAGCGTGTGAGAGGTGATGGACGTGGTTCTGGTGGACATAAGGTTCGGAACCCTGGATAGAACTGGAGGTGCAGCTTCAGGGGTTGAACAATTAGATTCAGGACCATGGAGAGCAATCATGCAGCCTGGTGAGGCTGGGTTAGCGTTGAGGTAGGCAACTTAATACCCTGCAGTTATTTTGGAGTAAGCTCCCATAAGCCCCGCTCAGCATGGTCAATGGTCAGGTTTAACAGCACCCACAGCTCTAAACATCTGGAAGGCACAGTTTCTTACTCCTGTCTTAGAATAACGGGCAGTGTTTTAAAGCCAAGTTCCTTTTCGTCTGGGTGATGGAGTCTTGTGTTGGAGGCTCATTGGAGAATGGTCCCCAGATTCCCCCTGCACGGTGGAAGATCCCAAGGTCTGCTGTTGAGAGACACTTCCTGGGGATCAGAGGACAGGGTGAAGAATGAAATGTGGCGGGGGGGGGGGCACTTGTGAAGGTCTGAGAATAGGTTTTAACTCCTCGGAGTCACAGCCATTTAAGACTTAAGTTGCAAAGGGCTCTGAGCTCTGCCTGGACCATAACAGGGAGGAGGAATCACCACCACCCCAGTTCGACTGTGGAGGGAGCCTTCTGCCAGTAGGAGGGGTTAACAAGATGCCATTCTGTCAGACCTGGAGTTTTTACATTGAACACCTCAATTTTCCAGCTTCAAGTGCAGTTTTTTGTTGTTGTTTTTGCATGAAAAAAGTAATACTGTATTTTAAAATTTATAATATTTTGTAAACTGCCCAGAATACTTTAGCTTTCGAGCACTATCTAATAACAATACAAATTGGAATGTAGATTTTCTTGCTCAAGAAGGTAAGGACACTATCCTAACCCATCATCAGCAAAAGTGCTACAACTCCCAGGATTCACCAACTGGCTTTCCCCCATGGCTTTCTGGGGCATGCAAGGAGTGTTAAAGCATTTTCCTCTGTCCAAACATGCCTATGATGCTGTCCTAAATGACTGATCTATTCACTATTTCCCCCCTAAAAAGTAATATGTAAAGCATACTTCTTTTTGAATTTTAAAATTGGTAGCACTGCGCACTTTTAAGCATGAAATGATTATTGTTCCACTGTGAAGAGTAAGAACTGAGGTGCCTACCCCATTTCTTTGTTTCTGTGTGAGTACCGCTTGATTTGACTAGAAATAAGCCCAGATCTTTTGAGAGCTGGAGTGGGCAATCCCCTCAGAGGATAGACAGTTCTGCTTTGCCTCACGTCCAGTGCAGATGCAGAAGAATGACCTGTTCCAACAGAGGCTGAGTAGAAGGAGATGAGCCCAGAGCATTGACTCATTCAGAGATACAGCAGGCAGTCTCTTGGGTGGATGTGTGGTTTGGGCTCCTAGCAGCCTATTCTTGTATCTCTAGCTGTCTTTTTGCAGTAGTTAGTGTGCCTTAACATAGTTTTGGAACTGATGTATTACTCACTATCTTCAACTAAGAGACTAATATTCATTTTCAAAAATGCTGAGAAATGAAATATAGCTTTTCTTTTTGAACCACTAGGTGGCTCTCCATTTCCTACAAAAACAGTCACATTCCTTCAGCTGAGCTAATTTTCCAAAAAGATTAATAATTTCATTCCGTAACATTAAGGGAAGTGACTTGCTTTCTGTAGAATATGATTGCAATCCTAGATGTACAGTGCTAGTGCAAGCTTATGTGTTTCCTCAGAAGTAAGCCCCAGTGAGTTCAGTGGGGCTGGCTTCCCAGTAAGTACATATGCAATTGCAGCTTGTGTTAGCCTGTTTATAAAACCCATTGATTTCGATGTAAGCTGCATGTATATACCATGTTTCCCCGAAAATAAGTCCTAACTGGAAAATAAGCCCTAGCATGATTTTCAGGATGCTCGTAATATACCCCAAAAATAAGACCCAGTTAACATGGTAGCATGTCTGTTGCAACACATGATAGATGTATTGAATTATAAAATAATGTTACTATACAATTAAATATAAATAATATTATTGACATAATACTTAAAATAAATGATGATATACATTATAATTAAGTATTTGTAAATACCAAAGCGGGCGCCTTTGGACAAAAGGTAAATGCTAAACAGATGAACGTGAGACTTATTGCCAAATGACCAATCAGAGTACAGACACAATGCACAAATAGTGTCAATATTTCATGTGTTGCAACAGATGTACTTAATGCATGGATTGAAATTGCAGGATGGGTGCAAAAAGGAAGAACTATTCTGTTGAGTACAAGAAAGGAATCATGGAGGACTCTCGGGGCAAGAATCTTACGGCTTTCGTAAGAAAAACCTGAAAATAAGCCTTAATGTGTCTTTTGGAGCAAAAACTAATATAAGACCTGGTCTTATTTTGAGGGAAACACGGCAGCTAGTGAATTCTTTCAATATATACTATTATTTAAATAGTGCTGCTTCAGTATGATTGAGTTTTTATCATTTATGAACTCCAGTGAGCATCCAGTCTTAAACAACCACAACAATGATAACAGTGTGGAATGGAGAGACAAGGAGAGCCATGTGTAAATATGGGCAGATGTACTTATATTTTGCTTGAGTTCGGTTATAACTACCAAATGCCTAAAATCATTAAAGCCAAAACTCTATGAAGGTTAACAGTATTCAAAATCCAACTGAAAAGTCTTAATTGTCCCATCATATGTAAGATTCCTAAAATTTACCAGGTTTACTAAAATTTACTAGTGCTTGTTTACATAAAAAATAATGTTTTAATAGGAGGCAGTGTATATTGAATTCTGCCACTTACAGATTTTTAATATCTATTTAGCCCTGTCAGTAAAATGTCAAAAATGAAACCGCCTTGTTTATAGATTCTGTTACACTACCACACCTGTCTTCATGGGCAGCTCTTCTCCTGTGCTTTGAAAAATTGTACATTCAGTTGGCAGTATGCTGGCAGCAGCTGCGCCCTGATGAGCCATGCTGAAAAGGTCTCCTGGTAATAGTTATAGACTTAATATTGAAAAACAAGGTTAAAGAAGCAAGCTATAGTCCTTCAGGAACAAACCTAGTCAAAAAGAAGTTGTAAGGACTTCAGGCAATATCTTCTATGGTTCCAAACTTTTGAGTTGCACAAAACTCCGGGGCAGAATTAAGGGACAGGCAGTTCTCAGCTATATTTGGAAGAAATACATTTATAAATGCACGAACAGATTGTTCTTCTGCAAGTACAAATCCACTAGAGTACATGGTAATTTGCAGAATTTCGTAACAGGTGCATACGCATTCACACACACACTAACGGGTGTCTTTTCCTAAGAGTCATATAATCTGCTATTAGCAGCATTTGCCTTATATAAGAGGAGTATATTATAAACTTTCCCTTTTATTTGCAGGAAGCGATTCGGACAGAAGCCCGTCGAAAAAACCTTCTTATTCTGATTTTACATTATTTAACTGAAGAAGGGTATGACTTCTTTCACTTAATGGGACAGACTTTTTATTGTTTTCCATTTTTGCTTTGAAATGAAAAATATAGTAGCAAGGATATAATAGTAAAGAAACCTTGCTTCCTTGTCCGCTTCTTACTATGGGTTGCCTACTCAGAATTAAGCCCCATCGGTGGGATTTTCCCCAGTGCTTGTAGTCTCGGTCATTTATGGTCTACAGAGAGAACACATTTTTAAAGGTTATCTGCCTAGTCATCTGGAGCAGATTTGCTGTTTTCAACAGGCAAGTGGGTAATTACAAGCCTTGTTCTTCAGGTTACCTGTTAACAATTTGTTAATATGACAACAGATTTTCATTAGGTCTGTGCATTTTTCCTAGCTCATGAGAGGAGCTGCTGGTTGAGGACTAACTCAGAGGTTTGATGCTTGTGATGAAAGCTTTAGTTGACTGGGCTACTATGAAATGGTTGTAATCTTCACATAAATAGGGTACAGGGTCTTTCAAAATGATATAAGAACCATTCACATGGCACATCATGACAAGTGACTCTGTATGGTTTCCACGGTGCAGTTTTTTGCCCGGATGTGCCAGAAAGATGATTAAATGGTTGCTGTGTTACCATGATTTCTGTTCTCCTTGCTCAGTCCTCCTGCTGTTGGCATGAATCACATCAGCCACCATGCCTGAAATTCAGTCCCACACTGGATGGCTGGAGTAGCTCCTGCAGCTGCCATTCTTTCCAGTGGACTTTATGGCAGCTGCAGACCAGGACCATGGAAACCATGCTGTGGGGTTTGAACACCTGGAGAAACCATGGCAAAGCATGGAAACAGACCACTGCTTTTTACTGTGGTTTCAAGAACCCAAACATACCACGCTGAAACACCACAGCAGGATTTGGACAACACAACAGGCCATCCTGCCCAAGCAACCACCATGACTTGTTGTGTCATGTGACCCTTCCTGATGTGTATATAATGTACATGATTGATAATGGTGTGGAAGAATCAATTCATCAGAGACTGTCAAAGAGGGAGAGAAAGGGGGGGGGGTGCAAACAAAAGTGAAGCCAGATAGTTAGGAGTGGTGTTGGGGTGGAAGTTTGGAGTTGCAGCTGGAGTGGGTGATGAAGGGCAACACAGAAGGCAGGAAGGCAGTGGAGCAAATCCTTGCGCTATACCTTTAATTAAAATGATCACAGTACTTCCCCACTCCAGTACATAAACCTCCCAGAGAGCTTCAGCGATAAATAAATGAAAATGACCTCCACAGCAACAGGTATAATAATATAATAAAAGCCAATCCCCATTTTATACACCCGTAACAGGGCTGGCCCAAACCATTTTAATGGTTGCAAAAGGTTAACAAAATGACATCCCTTCTCCTTCCATGGACAGAAATGTCTGAGCCGTTAAATGAATCTGTCTTCAACACTGAGGATGGTGTAGAACTGATCCTGCAGTGCACCTGAAAGAAGCAGACTAAGCTAGGGGCCATAATGCAGGCTGGACGGTGTAGTGTGATGCACAGGTCTCTCCATACCTGGTTGCCTCCTCCCAGCACATGCTGCCTGAGGTGGCTGCCTCCCTTGCGTAATGGTAGGGCCAACCCTGCTTTGAAATGAATGACAGTAGAATGCTCACACTTAAAGAAGGGGCTGGCTGACTTCAGGTTTGTGAAATCTGCATATTGTCCCCTGGGAAAGGTCTGGATCAGCCTATTTAAGTAATTTTATCCTCCTCTGTGGGTGGCTTATATAAGTGCAATGAATGCAAGAACAAATAATTAGCACAGTAAACATTTTAGCTAGCTTATATAAAGCGGTCTCACTGTAGACATCAGTTGGAGGCAGTCGCAGTGGCTAAGGGCCAGTTTTTCCATTGGGCAGAGTGAACCATGGTTTCAGGCACGGCATTTGGGTGCTATCTGCTGTGCTGCTTCAGGCAACAAAATGACTTGCACTGGTCCTGGCAGGGCCGGTTGTACCATGAAAGTTCAGAGGGCGCCTCAACGTAAAGCAGCTGCTTTTGCGAATGCTGCACATGACCCCCATCACTGATGCCCTGGCAGTAATATATTTGATTACATCAGTGATGGTTCAGCAGGCAAAGTCCTGCATTATGTTGCCCTTTGACCTCTTTTGTATTAAACTAGTTTCTTGATTTTTAAAAAAGAAATCTACTGTATCAGATGAGTCTTGTCAATACTCTGAAATCTCTGAATCTTGTTGTTCCCAGGTATGTTGATGCTGCAAAGGCATTGGAGCAAGAAACGAAGCTGAGCTTGCGACGCTTTGAAGTTTGTGATAACGTTGATCTTGAGACGATTTTGATGGAATATGAAAGCTACTACTATGTCAAATTCCAAAAGTACCCCAAAATTACCAAAAAAGCCATAGATGCAAGTATGTAGTGCTGTTCAGGAAGAGTGCTTCCCCACCCCCATTAAATTTAAGTTTTATTTCTTCCACTAATAGTGAAATGGGTTTTTTAAAAAGTCCCAAACAAGTGTAAATATAGCAGAAAAAGGAAAAATGGACCTCATAAGCTGCAGTGAGGGCTGGTGATGGAGCTGCAAAGGCAGCCTGCTCATCAGGATTGCCAGTGTGCCATGCAGAACGTGGCGTTTCCCATCCAGCACCTATGGTCAGCAAAGGATCCCATCCCGGGGAAGCCTCTGATAACAACCCCCAGGTGTGGCTTTGGCCCTTGGAGGCAGCTATCCGTGGTGCTTGCCCAGAGCTGCTTGGCAGGAGCAGCAAGGGGATTTTGCTTGTGTCATCCCAGTCTGGACAACACGGCAGTCTTTGTGGAGGGTTCTGAACCCTACAACCATTAATAATCCAGATAGGGGTTGCATGATCCATTAGGCACTTCAGCATCATGAGCCGGGTTGTTGTATCATGTGACCCATTCAGAGTCAGCTGTGATGTGTGGGAGATCCTAAAAAACGAAGCAGAGGGACCTTCCACAAGCAGGGACCTATCTCTTCCCAAAGGTAGTTTCTGGATCCACGACAGGACCTGCAGATTGATGATGGATGATTTTAGGAAGATTCCAATATGTGCTGCGTGCTGCCCTAGGATATAAAAGGCAGCAATGCTCTGTGTTGAACTGCGGCATTTAGGGTTCTTTTTTTTTTTTACTTTTTAGAAATAAAACCAAACTTCCCTTCACATGCTTTTCCCCCCTCTCCACACAGCAGATAATAAAACCCGAAGTGGAGTGAAATCCAAAAGGTAAGACAGCCCCTGCAAGGACAACATGAGGTAATAGTTTTTGTAAATGTACAGCCCATTTTAATTTATGCTTTCATTTGTTTAACTTCACACACACATGGATGCCACTGTGCGCATACACAGCCACTCACTTTGGCCTCTGCTTCTGTATGATAGTGAAAATAATGTGAAATTGTGGTAGGCTTTAATAAAGGAATTGGTCAACGTACATTCCAGGTAGGTAGGTAAGTCTCTTAACTGGTACATTAGAAGAGACACATAGGTAAAATGTTATATTGCACTGGAGTGTCTTACCTTGATCAGGACGATAAAGAGTTAGCAAGAATCTGGAGCAGCCCATGCTGATCGTGGGCTGGGGTGGATTTGCACAATTCCCCTCAGCAGTACAGCTTGTAGCATCATACAAACCTGACCAAAGTGGGGTGTTACCTGTGGAGCAACAAAACAACAGGGTTCCAGCATATTTTTTTCTTCATGACTATGTGACTTGGACCAGTTCTGCTACAGTGTCCCTGTAGGGTCATAGATGGGAGGGTGGTGGTGGGCCTTTTTTCCTTCCCAAGACGGGTTGTAAATTGGACACCTCCCAGCAGCTGTTTTTGTATCTTAGGGCAGCAAGCAGCACGTATCGGAATCTTCCTAAAATCACCCATCATCAAACAACGCAGAGGCCGGTATCAAAGTCTGTGCCAACTAGGACTGCTGACTCCAAATCTTCCAGCAAGGTGAGCCCTAAACAAGTTGAGATTCTTCACTGGTTCTTCCCTTTACACTTAATTTTTGAAGTGCAGAACTTCTAGCCACCGGAGAAGGCAACTGATAGCTTATTGGGACTGATATATATAATTTTATAGAGAAAGGTGATGCTGTGACCTTTGGTTCAGCACAGGGTGAACAGGCAAATCTAATCGTACTGCCGTTCTGTGCCAGCCTCAGCCTGGCTGGTCCAGTAGGAAAACAGTTCTCAAGACATGGAACTGCCTAAGGGCACAAAACTATGCAAGTTTAGAGAGGGAAAAAATCCTGCATCTTCCAGCATAGCCCAGGGTTTCTCTCTTTTTGGTTTAAACTCGCATAGGATTGCACCTTAGTACTGTTAGATCGTTGGACCATCTAGGCCAACAACTCTGACTGACAGCATCTCTTAATGGCCTTGGAAGATTTTTCCCAGCCCCAGTGCTACAGCTCCTTTAGACTGGAGATGCAGGGGCTGATGTGATGAAGGGGTGTGATTTATGGCATCGGTATGTTTGCAGTCTGGTATGTGAGCTTATAGAGTTGTAGCCGCTTCAAAGGTGAGGCGTTAAGGAGAAGCATCATTGCTTTCTCTTCCTGGTGCATGCTGGCAGGAATGATGCCAGCTGCAGTCCTGCATGTCTTGAGGTCATCAGGCTGGGGAAGACTGCTTGGGATCTGCACCCGTCTACTGTGACTACAAGTCACAGATATTGCAAACTTAGTAGAACTCACCGGCCTGGATAGCATGTGATATTAAGACAGTACATATATATGCCTCAGCAAGACCAAATGAAGGCTTACGTGCTTCTTCTCTTCTCTCTTCCTTCTGCACACAGAGGTGTACAATAAAACATGGTTCAGTTTCATTTTTCTTAATTCCTGGCTTGTCATTATATATGGACCAGGAATTGTGTCTTTAAGCAAACTCTAGTCAAGTGCTGATCAAACCATCAACAAACCCTAGATTATTTTGCTGGCTTGCTTTGAACTGTGATTTTTGGTTTGTATTCACCTGCAATCCAAGAATCAGAGAAAGTGAAGCGTACTTTATTCCTCCCAATTGTGTGGGAGAAGGAAAAGGGTGCACACAAGCACGAGGCTAATTCAGTCACCACTAAATCCTAGCTCAGTGTTACAGACATAGCCATTGCTTCTGCTGGGGATAGCGTGGACAGAATTATGGGTGATTCTAAAACTTGTTCACTTGGAAGCCTCAGCACTGTGTAATTTGAAAGTTGCTTGTTGTTTTTTGCTGTAGGAGAGTGAAGACACTTTAAGCCGAGCAACATCTGAGTTTGGTTTAAACGTATCGGCAATCCACGGAGGAGGAGGTGGAGAAGGCTCTCATCCCAGAAGGGTCAGTCAAAATTGACATGCATGAAGGAAATTGTGAAAGATTTTGGTGTATCCAGAAGGAGAAACTGTTACAGAATTACAGGTTCCCAAGACCTGTTCCTTAGTTCAGAATACATCTTGGTCTGGGCTCTTGCCAATTTGGACGGAAGATTCCTAGGCACCACATAGGGTCAGGTTGTGGGACAGGACTGCCATCAGCACCCAGGATCCTTGGAAAAGTGCTGGGGCTTGAGCACCTGCTGCTGAAGCCTGCCTCATTCCTGCCCTAGCAGAAATTTACATTTCCCTTGATCCCTCGACATAGCTGTGTACTGGAACACCACAAGAAAATTAAAGGGCGGCTAGACTCGGCAGCCTGGCACTGCTCAGCGTGAACTCAGGCAAGCCCTCCAGGGCCCACTGATGGAAGAGGGGCATGCCAGAGGCTGCTGCGCCCAGGCCTCTTCAGACCTGGAGTCAGTCCTGGTGGGAAGGCACAGACAAAGTAAGGTGGGCAAAGCAAGACCGTTGTGGCAAGGACTGCCACAATGCTCTGCCGCTCAGGCCAGAGAACAAACGTGGCTTTGAAGCTCTTGTAGGGGTTAGGCCTGACTGCATGACTCCCTCAGGCTGAATGCTGTTGCAAGGGCTTCCTCGCTGGTCTGGCCAGTTCCTGTTTAGCTCCTGCTTTAATATCCTTCACATTCCAGTATCAAAATCTGTTCTGAGTTTCAGACCTGGCAAATGCTCTTTGTTTCCCTTACAGGGCCAGATCATCGACTTCCGGGGGATGATCCAAGATGCTATCAAAGGGGCATCTAATGAAATTGCCTTGCACAGCCTTAATTGCAATCCAGATCCTTCAGTGAGTGCTGTTCTTTCCACCTGCTACAATTCCTTTAAGTGATAGCAGATGGTGACTAGGAAACCGAACTGGAAATCGGAGTATAACATGTGATGACATTGGTGTGCGTTACTTGGTGCATTTAAAAAAAAAACTTTATTCTTCAAACTGGAAAAGCCAGAATTTGGAAAAAAAGCCTGCCAGTAACTTAGAATGGCAGCCTAAGAGTTTTGAAGAACTAGTGGCCCCAGGGACTAGGCCTGAGGGGAGGGATGCTTTCTGTCTCTGCGCAGTAACCAGGGCTTTATTTTGAACAGTCCTGCCCATCCACTCCCATGTCAACTGACATGTAAACAAGGACTTCTTAACCTCTTCCCTGTGTCAGGGCTACGCATTGTGCTCCAGAAAAGCAGAAGGCCTGAAAGCATTTGTGGTTTGTTCTGGGTCATGTTAAGCAAGGCAGAACCTTGGGGAGCACAATGTCCAAAGTGCTGGCTGGAGTGGCCGCCCATAAGGAGTGCAGTCCCAGCAAAGGGCTTCTGTCAACCAGGGTCTTAAATGGCTGGCAGAACTTGGCCTTTCAGTGCCTGCACCCCACTTGACCCTGGCTGCAGTTTGTAAAGAGCCAGTCGCTGCTTTTGCAGTCTCTGGTTCTTGCATGGCAGAGGCGCAAGAGAAGCTGCCAGGGAGTCATCCTCGGAGTCTGATGATGAGAGGACCATCTCCTTTGGCCAGGAAAGCGCAGAAGGGAATCCTGAGGGCTTCCCCTGCAATGGGTTTAGCCGCCTGTCCAGTTGAATTCAAAGCCGGAAGAGAGTTCTGAGGCTCAGAACTAGGGCCCTGACTACAAACTGTCAGACAAATCATGAGTAGAGATCACCCTTTTATGCACCTCCTCTTCTCAATCCCACTTCCTCCATCCTGGCTCACCCAAGGTGTAAGCAGCTGACGTGCAGAGAGGGAGGCTTCCCTCAGAGTCTCAGGGGCTGCTCTATGTACCACCCATGTCTTGGTGAAGGCCACTCAATTCCTTGTCCAGGTATTTGTCCACCTGGCTCAGTGTTGTCTGACTAGCAGTGGCTGTCTGGGGTCATGGGCAGAGAGCAGCCTTTTGTGCCACCTCTTTCCCGATCCTTTCAGCTAGAAATGCAGAGGATTGAATCTGGGACCATCCACATGATTTGCACACTATAGTCCCACTGCCACCCCAGCAGGAAGTCCTTGAAATGAGGGGCTATGATGAGGAAGATAGGAAGGCCCTGGGAGCTGGTTTCTGCCTCCATTCCATGTTGTTGTTTTTTCAGCACAGTTGACCTCCAAACTGGGAGGCTCCATGGTTGTATGAAGATGCACGCATGCATGCATACATACATATGTGATCCTTGGATCATGCATTGGATTCAATATCCCAAGTACAGGAAAATTCCCTGTTAAATGTCTCCTGATTCAGACTTTTGGGAGAAGGTTTGTGAGCCTGATAAAATGGGGCTGAGTCTGAAGAGGAGCTGATATGGAAAATACTAATTCAAGATGGTGTTGCATGTTTAAAATCCCATTTGATAGTGTTTCTAGATGGATGGATGGATAGTATCTTACATCTGCCTATATTCCCTTTCTTTCTCTCCTTCCTTCCTTCCTTCCTTCCTTCCCCTCCTCCCTCCCTCCCAT